CAGCAGGGGAGGAGCCGGGAGCTCAGGGGTTGGACAGGCCGGATGTGCCCCGCGGGCCGTAGTTTGCCCACCTCTGACCTAGAACCTTTCTTCAGCCAGAGTACAGCCAAAGTGACACTGTCAGGGTTCAGTCACTATACCACTGGTTTTTTCACTTCACTCCAAGCGTCCGGCGCGGGCCGGTAGCTGCCCACTCTGGGGACAGTCTCAGGTGGGGACTTTCACTGGGGCGCTACGCCAGCCAAAACATAGAAAATAACTATCATCAAAACAAAACAAAACTATTTTAAATGACAACACAAGACACCCAGGCCTTACCTTGTACTGCTGGGTGGCCTCCTCTACTGGGAAAACAGTGTGAGCTCTGTGAACTTGCGACTCTCTGCAGATCACACAAATCAGTTGGTGATCCGTGTCACAGAAGAGTTTCAGGGCCTCCCGGTGTAGCTCACACCCTTGCTCCCCTCCTGGGGTTACTGTGACCTGGAAACTCAGCTGCCTGGCTATTTCCACAACTTTCCCCAGCTCCCTGTTGGGCCTGAAAAGCTTCTGCTGGGCCGTTTCTCTGCACTGCGGGCAGGAGAAGTTTGTATCTGTCTCCCCCCAGAACTGACTGATGCAGGCTCGGCAGTAGTTGTGCCCACAGTGGATAGACACCGGCTCTGTGAAATACTCCAGGCAGATGGAACAAGAGAGTTCATCCTGGAGACTTAGTACAGAGCTGTCTGCGGCCATGGCTGCGTGACAGGGTTAGTTTCATTTCCTTGTGTTCGGCCTCTGTTCAGCCTATGGGGCGTTCCCCTTAGATCTGGCTGATTTGCTGCTGTTCCTGTGAGCTGTGGCTGAGAGTTTCAGTCTGGGGAGGGCTCTAGTCTGGGGAGAAATGTGACTCTCTCTGTGTGCAGGGAGCCACCTCAAATCCCCAGCAGTGGTGCTCAGAGAAACAAATCAAAGAACGGCAATACTGAGTCAGACCAATGCCCCATCTAGCCCAGTATCTTGTCTTCCGACAGAGGCCAATGCCAGGTGCCCCAGAGGGAATGAACAGAACAGGTAATCATCAAGTGATTCATCCAGTCCCAGCTTCTGGCAAACAGAGGCTACGGACACCATTCCTGGCTAATAGCCACTGATGGGACCTATCCTTCATGAACTTATCTCGTTCTTTTTTGAACCCTGTTATAGTCTTGGCCTTCACAACATCCTCTGGCAAAGGGTTCCAGAGGTTGACTGTGCGTTGTGCGAAAAAATACTTCCTTTTGTTTGTTTTAAACCTGCTGCCTCCTAATTTCATTTGGTGACCTCTAGTTCTTGTGTTATGAGAAGGAGTAAATAACACTTCCTTATTTACTTTCTCCACACCAGTCATGATTTTATAGACCTCTATCATATCTCCCCCTTAGTCATCTCTTTTCCAAGCTGAAAAGTGCAGTCTCATTAATCTCTCCTCATATGGAAGCTGTTCCGTACCCCTACTCATTTTTGTTTTCTTTTCTGAACCTTTTCCAATTCTAATATAACTTTTTTGAGATGGGGCAACCACATCTGCACGCACTATTCAAGATGTGGGTATACCATGGATTTATATAGAGGCAATATGATATTTTCTGTCTTATTATCTATCCTGTTCCTAATCATTCCCAACATTACCATCCGGGTCAAAGTGCGGCTGAAGCTGGGAGTGAGCCTCATGCAGGCGCTAGGGCACCTCAGGCAGACAGACATCCCTGTGGGCCTCCTCCTGCAACAACCGCCAAACAGGTGGGCGTGGCTGGAGTCTCGCCACAGCTGTGCCAGGCCCAGGGCAGTCACTGGTGGCTGGCGGGAGCCAGGAGCTGAGCGCCACCCCTGGAAGCAAGGTGGGAGTCAGAGCTGA